CAGGAAACAATTGCTGATAAGTTACTGAATAGAGCTAAATAAATAGAGATAGAATATTGCACTCTCTTTCGTGAGTGTTAATGTTATCCAATAGGGTATTTCACCTGAAGCAAACCGGATCCAAAGAAGAACAAGAGTTCTTCCTGAACTCTTTGCTCCTTGGCGCTCATTGGCCGATGCCGACGAAGTTCTCGGACCCGACACTAGGGGTCGACCGCCCTTGCGGCCAGTTCATGAACTTCGTCGGCGTCAGCCAATCAGGAGCAAGGGAGGAAAGAGTTCAGGAAGAGCTCTTGTTCTTCTTTGGATCCGGTTTGCGTCAGGTGAAATACCCTATTGTTCACTGACAGTAAAATTATGTTTACGAGCAAAAGAATCGGAGGAAAGACAGCTTCACAGCAGACAATTGGAAGGACTCAAAATAGGAACGGTTGCCGTCTTACGATTAAGATAAAGTAATACAGATCGACACAAACGTGTTATTCCTCAAAAATGTTGCAATTGCAAAATGTTTATCAAATAACCAAAAGATTCCTGTTAGCTTCTTCAACCACTTCAACAATAGTGACCAGATAGTGACAATGTGACATCGTACCGTCACCGTCCATACGCTGCTTCTCTTTTCTGCACAACGATGCTCTCATATGTTACAGAGATGTAGCCTCGCTCCCATCCACTAACAACTTGCTTCGCCGCCATCTTGCTACTACTACATCAGCTCATTCACCACCGCAAACTGGCGGACAAAACTGGCGGCCGAAAGCCCTCATTCTTCTTAGCTGGAGGCTTTCGGCCGCCAGTTTCGTCCGCCAGTTTCGGTGCGGTAGCGGCGGTGAATAAATCAGGACAGATTGCGATTGGAATACAATACGTTCTGAGTTCAAGGCTAAGCTAACGTTGATACGAGAACATAAACAAGTCAGGGAAAGCAGAAAGCAATTAAGAGAACCTTCAGCAGACGGCCTTAGTAAAAGAAACGAGAAGCTGGCACAAGAAAAGAAGATGGATTTTAAATGTTACCAGGATTTGGGATTTATTGCTTGGTTTTAATTTTTACATCCAAATTTTTATACAAATAATGAAGATCTATTTGGTTCCAGTATTTATGTACCCTTAAAATCAGATCACATCTACTTAGGTTATGTTCCTATTTGATTTGTTGTTTATTTTTGAAGATCTGTCATTTAAATATTATAATGCATGTTAAGTGTCATTTTAAAATTTGGGCTTTGGGTATGGGCTAGAGGTGTCCCCCTTAGAGGTACCCTATCTTATTAGCATTTTAAAATTAAATTAAATTTTTCAGAAAAATATTTAGCAACATTATTCGTGACTAACTCTATATATTATACTCAGAAAAAAGGTAAGAATTTGGTGTAACATTCATGTTAAGAATAAATAGCTAACCCTGTGATGCTAATATCTTAAGCAACACATTACCACTATTTGAACACTAGTCATAATTTTTAATGAAATCACAAAATCTTCTTACACTTGTTCCAGCCCCCTCCAACACTGAATACTGAATACTCTTGCCAGAAGAAGGGCAGTAAAAGGCTAGGAAGTTAGATCAAAAGGGGCATTAAATAGCAAAGCAAATAGCAGTGATGTGTTGGTCAAGGTTTCAGGCTCTCAGTAAGATGCAGCGCAGCACTACCCCTTGCTGACTGATCGTAGTTAGGTACCACTCTTAGTAACGGCAACGTCTTTGATCAAACCGGCTCTCGTAACAACAATTCAATTTGTTCTTGAAGAAATAAAGGCAGCGGTATTCCTAGAATGTTCCCTGAAATTTGCAGGTTTAAAGTATGATATTAAATTTACGTGAGAATCAATCTTCAATGGTTTTAACACGCTGAGTTCCAGAAAGAGCGCGCGGTGGCATTTCCTAGCATGCCATGACCATCATGTGCCCACGTAGGAGTCGACATAATGTATTTATTTATCTATACAACATGTTTTGTCATCAAAAATCTTCATTGCATTTCTAAAAGTCTCTTAATTGATAGTTATTTTTTACTTCCTATATTTTCTTTATTATTCTGCTTCATGCACTGTTAATAACATTTATGAAACAAGGATTTGAGTGACCATGAGATTACTTTTTTGTAATCGTAGTTTAAATAAACAAAAACAGGCTAAAATAAGGTCCCAGTTTTACAGTACTTTCAAATCTGTCTCCTCAATCTAATTAAGTCATTTAGGCTGTGTTGTCATGCAATATACTGTCTATTTTCAAAAAGAAGAAACAAGTTTTGCATGATTTCCCAGGTTGGCCATCAGTTTATATTTTTTCCAGGCTGTGAATAGTCAATTCAATATATTTGCTGCAGCAAAAGTTTTTTTAAGTGGGTCCTTAATATGTCCTAAACTGAGATGTTACTTTTGAGTATCTGCGGTAAACGTTTTCTTCAGTGTTCAGGAACAGCTTCAATTCTACAGCCTTCCTTGCTCAAGGGCAAACTTTGTGTTCATAAAGTGCTTGGTCCACTTTTCACTTGGTCAATAAACATTGAGAATTGAAAATGGCTTCATGATGGTGAGTTTTCTCACTTTTATTGGGATGGGTGGACTGACTAAAAAACAAAAGCAGGGTTGCTAATGCTTTTGATAAAATAAAAAATATTGAACAGGGAAAATGACTAAATCTTGCTCCCAATTGTTATTTTTGAGCTTTCACTTTCATTGTCATTCTAATTTTTTGGAGAGGTAAAAGGTTGCAGGGCATTTGGGATCGAAAAGCCACGCTTGAGCCAACACTAAATTTGAGAAGATGGCGCCGGTAGGTAGGCAACCCAACAGGCATGCGGAGCGGGCGAGGCGGCCGGGAGAGGAGTGGG